CAGTACACTAACTCCGTCGGTGGCGCGCGCCAATAGCTCTTTTGTTGCCTAGCAAAGGCGGGTTTATGACTCTGGAAAGCTTCTCTAGGAACATTGCTCGTTGCGCCTAAATTCTTTGACCTCCGATCAACCCATGGCTAATGGCGTGCAAGCCAAGCCATACCAAGGATGAGATCATATCTCGAGTCCAAATCCAGGACCGGACAATGTTCGATACTGTTGAAATCTATAAATTTCACACCTAAGTTCAATGAAACTTTAGGTACGGTGACACGAGTACCTGTCGCTAAGCGAACAGTGATAACATCACACTCATGCGCTTTCAGCGCCTCAGCATATTGCTGACATCCCTCTAGGATAGGCGTCGAGCAAATTGTCCCTAACCGATAGCCAATATAAATTGACGACGGCTCTACAAATCCCTAAATCTTAGGCGAGTCAATTAACAAGTCTGGATTATACTCACGTCTCGTGGTAACCTTCACGAGTCTGTCTGGGGATAGCCCCTCTATCTCTACCACATAGAGATTCGGCAGAGCCTAGTACTTACCCAGTAGGGAGCCTCGCGCCTACTGGGAGATGACAATTTCCCAAACCGTACCCACTTTCGGGTCAGGAGGCGGATTGCGGCTCGGCCGAATTTGAAGCGGCTTCCGCAGTGTGCACTGAGGGCGCTAGTGCCTGGTGCTCCCGCACATGTAACATGTACGTATATTACGTTGCTGTTCAACAGGTTAAACCTCGGCTTCTTCTTCTTTAGCATGGCTGAGATCCATAGGCTTAACCCACCAAGTGATCTTTATGCGTGCCCATGAGTACCATAGTGGGTGGCCATAAAGTTGAACTCAGAGTTCAACGCTATGTCTACAGCCTCTTTAAACGTTAAGGGATGGACGCGGAAGACTTTCGTCTTCGCGATCCCCGTACGAAGGCCCTCCATACAAATGGTGACAGGGACTTGCTCTGGAAGAGTCTCCAACTGCATAGCAGCTATGAGAGTTCGCAACTCTTGGACAAAGTCCGATAATTCTCACTTTTCTTGCCTGGCGGCTAGAAATCGAGAGCGAACACGATATGCTTGATTCGGTGGCGCGAACAACCGAGACATCTCTCGTTTAAGCGAATTATTTAAGGGAAACGAAGCGCTCATTGACGTATCACAGGTAAGATCCCATTCTTTGGCTTTATTATCGAGCTTAGAAATGGCTAGGCCAACTTTCTGTCGCTTCGATTGAAGCAAGGCGGCTTCAATAGCCATATCGATTTCTCGGATCCAGAGGAGGAGATTTTCCCCCTCTTTCCCCTCGAAAGTCCTAAAGCTAAGGGTGAGCGGACGAGTCTTTGACTCACTGTCAGGTACTGGAATGTTCCGTGTAGTCATTGCTGAGGATAAATGGTCATGGACCAGCTCGATCAGCGTGGCGTTAAACTGCTTGAACGCATCAAGGCTTACATTGAGCACTTCTGGGCCTTGGTCCAGAATGTGATAGATCAGCTCTAAGCTTACCGAGAGCGAGACCTTGAGCCTCGGAGATGTAGCCAAGACTGTCCATCTCTTACAGAGGATCAGCTGAAAAGAGATTACATTGAAGGATTGACTACAAGTGCTGCCAACTGTAGCGCAGCTACCCCAGCTCTAAAGTCAGAGGAAGACTTATGGGTTAAGCCAGAGGCTTATAGCTAACAGCCATTTAGTTCTACGGAACTAATATATCAAGTTAAAGAGTCGGCTAGTTCTACGGAACTCGGGTGGACTCTATGAGCTATTAGCTAAGACTAGTGTAGTTCTAAAGAACTACACGCCCAATATGCAAAGGGGAATACCAGAGTCTAAGGACTCGCTAACACACGACAGTTCTACGGAGCTGTCAAGCGCAATGTTCGAAAGGGGGAAGACTATGGACTTCTGCTCAAAATGAGAGCAGAGTTTATTTAGATTTTATATCAAGGAAAATCCTACTTTAAGTAACCTATTCTACTAAACTAGAACTGATTCAAATATTGATATTCGAACCTAGCTGATGGTTGGCACATCACTCAGTCATCAAATGATGACGGTACAAAGTACTTCCACGGCAATTACCGTAACTCAGAGAATAACGACTGATCGGTATTCTTTAATGATGTGTAATCTGAGGCCACACCTGTCTTCCATATCACATATGGGAGGTCTTCAACCAATTTAGCCAAGGGCTAGTTTGACTCTGTTACAAAAACGCTTTTACGTCCGCAGATGCTATCAATCGCTTATTGTGTATTTATGATAGACGCCTTCACAACAACAAGCAATCTCTACAACGTACTTAAGCGGAACTTTCCGCGCTAGTGATTTGTATGACTGCTACTTTCTTTTTTTCTCTATTTATGCGAATACGGATCGTTCGTGTCGCGTGCAAGCGATGCGTGTTTAACAATTTGTCCTGTTTGTTACGATAAAACTTTCTATTCGACTGTGCTCTTTCGGATTGTTTATGTGCAATATATGTCTGCATAATGGCATGCAGGATGACATTGAGAAGGTGGCGCTTAAGGAGCGTAAGACAAGCGTGCATGCATGAACCCTATTATTACAAAAAAGTTAAGGCACTGCAACAAGTACGATACTACCTAAAGATACTCCAGTACATTGTGCTCATAATGAGGCTGAGGAAATTGCGTGCTCTTGCAAGTAGGCGTCCATTTCAGTAATGCACGAGTGATAGTGCCTAAAAGTTTGTGGAGTCGTACTGAGAAATGAAGTCAGAGATATTCTGATCTATAAATTGGGTCCTATAAGTTTTATTGGTGCTGGTGCTGTTCGTATAAACTTTACGTTGTTGTGCATTGTCACCCACCCAATTGTAATGGCCGCAGCATTTCCACAAATTCTACATGTTTATTGCATAAGTGATGCTATCGTTGCTTGATTTTGTTTGGTATTGAATTTATACTCACTTGCTTACTCACATCTAATAATTCGAGAACATCACAAACTAGGCTGAAATGCCGCCGCCAATGATGTCCACCTCACGACATTTTTGCGCAAAAAAGGTTTATGTGTGTATGATTACGAGATAAATGAATTTTAAATTGCAACTGATGCAATATAGTTCCCTCTATACGTAATTCATAATTAGTTGATCATGTAGCATTTTATTTAATTTAAGGGGCATTACCAGCCAAATGAGGGGTTGCTGGCGGTTCGGATTAAACATTCACCTGATAAAATATAGTCGCGTCAAAAACCTTATCCAGGACCACTTACTCCATGTTTAATATAATATAACCAAAATTAGCAGAATAAAAGCCTTAGAGACCGGTGATTCAAGTCCTTTTCTACTTTTTGTAAAATTGGCGCAGGTTGTGCCTCGGGCTTAGAAAAACTTAGAATTCTTAGGTATTTGCTGGGGTTATAGTCTTATCAAAGGCTCGTTGTGATTCTTGGATACCTTACTACTTTAATGAACAATTAACTCTAATGAGGGGACGAGTGCCCTCAGTCTTAAAGATATTCTTGACGCAAAATAGGAGAAAAAGGAATGAAAAGAAGGAGCTGCAGTAAAGAAGGAGGCAATTGAAAAAAGATTGATCAAGTGCTAGCAATTTCCGATCTCACTTAGTTCCTACAACCTTGCACTATCTGTCATGAAAAAGTCACTGTTATACGTCCAAAGGTGGTATAGTCGATCCGGATCAAGCATGTAAAACCTCGACTTCCAGCTGAGTATGAAGTAATATGTAGTAGAAAACTTGTGAGACGATAGCCGTAAACATAGATATCAACGTTAGATGAACCAGCTAGCAGAAACCCTTTCATTGGCACCGTCCTAGACTTTAAAGAAAAAATCGGGGCCATTAAAAGAAACCGTAACAAGCGACCGCAATTTGGGGACCGTAGTCAGAGGACCGCGATCTGGTGTGAGCCACGTGCTATAGAAGGATTTCGAATCTTTTTGGCATAGAGACGAAACATGGATGTTAATTTTGGAATTTGGTGTCCGCGTAGTAATTATTTCTCCTTCAGTTAAGATAACAATAAAGAGAGCTCAATTTGCGTTTAAAAAACAACTGTGTCGTTCTTTCTTCGGGTACATAATTTTGGCCTATCGACGTCAAAAAAGGTTAACCCCCTAAATGGGAGATCACCCCTGGATCTTTAAGGCTAGGAATGCAAGAACTTTTAGCAACTATCAATTGCAATCGGACGCAGGCCACCTTACTAGTTAAAGTACAATAACGCGAGACGGCTCAAGTTATCAGAAGTCTCGCGACTCGACTACTCAATTTTTAACACAGGCCGATCAAGGCGGATCCAGGCGACTCTGGTAGAACGCCAACCAAGAACACGCGATCGTTTGAGGAAAATCTACCCGATCAACACCAATCTCTACAATGGTCTAGTTTCGCATTAAGTCAAGTCCACCTAAAAGATTTCAGCCCGCCCTAACTACGGATACACAAGATGAGAAAGTATGTAATGCAAGCGGAATTGGTTAATTCCTCCGTAAGTCGGTCGTCTGGGCGTTAATGGAGAGTTAAGAAACTCCAAAAAAAATATGCAAACCCAACTTTACGAACAAGCAACTCCGCATCCTACAGAACGATGTTCGAAGCAAAAAAGCCACACAAACCAGCGATAATGCTCGGCTCGAGTAGGTTTTCTTCACCACATTTGGTACAATTGTTTATCCGAAACCCTTTTTTATTGCTGCACAAATTTTAATTATGTCTCCAACTTAGCGACCACACTACAGCCATATAACGAACTTGGTGGACGTCCAGTCCTATAAAAGTAGCGGAGGTTAGTAATTATCGGAAGAAAGAATACTAGAGGAAGAACAGTCTGCTGTAAATTTTTAAAGATATTGCTATATTTTTTCCTTTTTTACCTTAGATTCACACCCTTCCTTTAAAATCTTATATATACAAAGTACGCATCGCTGTTGGATAAAGACAAGTACTCTCTCTGCCACTTGGCTACGGGCGACATCTTGCGCGCTGCTGTAGCTGCTGGCACCGACATGGGCAAAAAGGTCAAAGCCGCGATGGAGTCGGGCCCACTTGCGACCGATGAGATTGTGGTCGGTATCATTAAAGACGCTATCAGGAGTTCGGAATGCCGTCGTGGCTTAATTCTTGAAGACTTTTCACGAACGATCGTGCAGGCCATAAAGGTGAGAACAAGAGGAGATACACACGAGTGTCCATATTGCAATGCAGCGGCTGACCATAGTTTCTTCTTTTTGTATGTGGTGCTATGCATCTCGACGAGATTTTGATAAAGAAAAACACCTTGGTGGGATGCTGTGGTGATGATTGACGTGCCGGACAAAATGCTAATCGAAAGTATTGCAGGTCAACGCGTGCACTTGTTAGTGGCCGCAGTAACCATGTCAAGTTTGCTCCTCCGAATGTGGACGGTAAGGACGACATTACGGGCGAGCCGTTGTATCAGCGCAAGGACGACACTGAAGCCACGCTTGGTTCGCGTCTGAAGGATTTTTACAAGCAGATGCAGCCCGTGATTGACTTTTACCGTGAGCAGGGCAAACTGGTGGAAGTTAATCCTCACAAGGAAATGCATCAGGTGACGGAGCAGATCCGTAAGAGCCTCGGCTTGGATTAGCGTACAGCATGCTTTGTTTCGTCCCCCTGACTGCTTGAAGATATTAGAGCATGTTTCACGGACAGCCTGTCAGTTTGCTACCCTCAACCTATTGAGCATATGTTCTTTCAATCGTCACTAAATAGCCTTGGCCACGTGCGAACGTCTGCATAGTATCCATAAGTTGATCCCGACTGGCATACGCAACCTCGGGAGGAGGAAGCATGTTATTGCGTGGTGCCCTATCATTAAACGCTGGAGGAGCTAGACCCCAGGCGTGAGTAGTGTCTTAGGTATTTCTTACGTATTACTTGCCAATTAACGGCCTAGATTATCGAGTAATACCGTTATTAAAAACAAATCTTAAAATGAAATGGAATTTAATATATAATATTTGATGGAAGGGTGTGAATTTAAGGATAAGGGGTGTGAATTTTGCAATCCCTTTTTATTAGAACAAATTTTCGACCGAGTCTTTGCACAATTAAATCATACAAAGCGTCAGTTGGACAAGTAATGCCTAAAACGATAGGGGCGCTATAGACAAGAGAGTTCTCTGCTCCCTCTTGATTTTATTCGTCGTATACATTGGCTGTACACTATTAGTGGACTGCCAAAGAGCATTAGCTGTTATCAAACAGAAGGGATTTTGCCGTAATCACAAGCCATCGTAGAAATTTTTAAGTGACGGTGATTGACACTTGGAACTACATGCTACTCTTAGAAATAGCAATATCCTGACAACAACAAATATTATGAACAATATCGCAGTGCTTCTTTAAGAAATCACTCAATCGCCGCGCATTTTTCTGTTGAACCTAAATTTTTACCTAAACATACTGTGGTTACCCGAAAATAAACACAGCTAAAAATCATTTGTTTGTTGCTCCCCAATACACAGACATTTTTGCTGAACCTTTTTCAATTTTATTTATTATTATCATCGTTTCGTTTTATCACTTCTTCTTTGATATATAATAGATGATAGAGAATTTACATTTAAAAAGCCGTAATAGCTGTGAACAGAGGTGGACACAGAGACATATAGAGGAATTCGAGCGCGAGATCATAACATAAGCAGCACATAGAATAGTTTGATTTAAAGAGATCTAAAAGCGCAAGTTCGCCATCATGGCCGAATGTGATGCGTTTGGTGACAAGAAATGTAGCGGGTCACTGATCTCTTGCTGTCACGGTACACTTTCCTTAATCTGACTGCGAGGTATACAATTGCCTCGGAATCTCACGTATACGTATCGTTCATAGGAAGGTTGCAATACAATAAAAGGTAAATTAGAACTGTATCTAGAATAGCCAATACCCTATTAAAATTACTTAAAAACTTGAATCATGCCCGTAACGAATTTGTATTGTGACGATCTGCTCAACACTTATTGCGTTCTTCTTTCTTGTCCCGGCTCTTCTGGGTAAAGTCAACGTCCTTTATCAACAAATGAATAGTAAATGGATTCTGAATCTCAAGATTGCCGTTCATGATGATATTTAAATAATTTGATGTCCTCCTTCGCCACAATACTCACACTTCAGAATTTGCAATTTGTAAAATACCATATAATGGACTCACCCCGCTACGCAAGCCCCTCCAACTTAACCATCAGTCACTTTGAAGACTGTTTTTAAATTGGTTGATAATCAGAGTATATTTAAGACAGGTAAGCACGTTTGGTCTTTTTTATTCAATTACTAATCTGATTGCAGAAATATTAATTCCATGCGATGCGCGGCCAAATTAGCAGGAGTGATGCAATGAAACTCCGTTTTAAATTCGCAGAAGGAGTGAAGACCATCAATGCAGCGATCGGCAACTTTCCTGCTGCTATTGCCACTCATGCAGAAACAGTTGCTGCTTTGAGCGTCTTGGGAAAGAGATACTCATCGTTTTCTTTGCTACGATTTAATAGAAGATCGTCATGATATTTCTAGTGTCACGGGACCCACCACCTTTAAGCTTCGGAGTAGGCTGAGACTCAGCACCGCGATAATATGTATCTTTTGGAGATAGTTGAGCGCAAGGGATATATTTATCTAATGGAAGATTTTAATGGAAATACGACCTAATGCAAGATACGTAGAACGTAAAATGATTGCGCCTTTTACGCTGCAGTTTAATCTTCTAGGCGTTGTCTAAGCGGCGCAGCACACAAATGAACTAATTTACTTAAGTAGCAACACGGTTTACTACTACTCACGTTAGTCACAAGGTGATAAGGTAGGTTTATCTTAGATAGAGGTGCTAGTCAACCTTATTAGATAAAAAACAATCTCGCTTCCGTTCTTGTCAGCGCTTTGCTTTTGACTATCCACCGCTCTCTGCGGTTGAGTATTGTACGGAACGGGAAACCGATTCGTGAGGCAGTATCAATCATCTAATGACTAGCTGTCATCAGCTACAGTGCTCTTGGAGTGTATTGCAGCAAAATCAATTATTGCTTCAGAAACTGTGTCTTCGAACGCATTGGGCGTGATGCTGATTTAATCAGCATATTTCTCATTTTCTTCTTCTACTTTTTGTTCACGAAAGTCGTTTTAATTAACATCGGTGTTGACCATAGAGACCTCACTATCAGCAAGAGACGAGTAAGCGCCGGATTGCCGTTCGATTCAAAAAATTCACCCCCTAAACTAAATTCACACTTCAGTAGGTAGGTGGTCGCAGATGGTATCTGCCATTAACGAAGAATGGTGTATGTTTCGTTAATGCGTGTAACAAGTTGTTAATGGCGAATCACGCCGTCGACAAAAATTCACCTCAATTTTTAGAAAAACGGAATTACCCTTGAAGGGTCTTTTCGTGAACACGGTTGGCGCGTTCCACATACCGATCCGTTTAAGGGTTGTCAGAAGTGTTTATTTTTTGGCGCGTTTCGAGTGTTTTCAACAAGAAGCGCCAAGACTCAGCTGTAATTGGACACATCAATTGTAGAGCCCATAAAAGCGAAAGGATAAGTCAATAAAGACGCGAGCACAATAAGTGCGATGATCGATTCAATTTTTAGCGACCAGGGTATCATCTAAATTAATATGTAGTGAGCGCAAAATAGCAGTATTCTTGTGTTTATTGGCTGGGAAACCGAAGACGATGCTTATTGCAGCTGATTACCAGCACTTATCCAGGAAAGGCAGAGGCTGCAATGGAGCGCTAACGGGAGGACTTGACTTTACCCGTTTACAGACCTCGCGCGAGCTAACGAAATTTCGCACGAACTGATGACAGCGACATCAGTAAAATTCTTAGCTCGCCGTGATATATTATTTTTACAACCACGTTGTCCGTCAACAGGAGTGTTATAGCATGCACACATGATCCGCAACCTTAGATTATCCTGATTGAGTAATACAATATGAGGTAAGTCACTGGTAACAGCCGAATATTTGTTTGAGCCGCATGCAGAACTGTAAATACATCTTTTGATTGTCCAAACTTCCAACAGCTGGTATAGAATCTTTTAACATGTTTGCGAAATGTGCATTTTCATACTCACAAATTCCGTACCTTGTCTTTCGTGTGTCTTCCAGTGAGTAAGGGTTCGAAGGTACACTAAAGTTCGATACCGCAACGGCAACCTCTCCACTGTAGAGTTTCGCAGCCAGTAGGAATTCAGGCCGGTGCGAGAGTGGGGAAAGAAAAATCATGAAGTCTTTCTGGCTTATTCTTAACGAATTATTATTATGCTTTACGAAGAATGAAAACCACCGCGCCGTAAGTTGCGAGAGGTGTAAACTATGTAGGGCTGCGCATAAGGATGCATTGTCCGTGTAGAAAAAAAACGTTTTGCTGTCAAGCAGAATACCCTGAACTTCACCAACGCGTGCTTCATGGAAAAATGATTCTTACAATGGACGGGGTTGTTGCACCCAGCTGTTGAAGCGAAAATCGAGCGATAGCATACGACGTTTCAGCACCGTCTGCATATTACTGCATTTATACACAGGCGCTTGTAAAGTCTCTGGCATGACAGACTACTAAAAATGGCCTTTTTAGCTCCGCAATTGACGAATTTAAATATAGTATCAAGCTTTTCATGATAAATTCGAAGGAGTGCTGATATCCGGCGCTACATATCCACTTTTCGATATTTTTCAAAGTACCATACAAATGAACATTTGTATCGATGACTGGTGTGAGTATTTATGCAAATACGCCGCCTAGGAAAACTAAATCTGAAGCCCTTTTACATCGTTAGGCACCTGCCAATTTATAATTCCCCCTATTTTCTGGGCTTGTACTGTGCTTTTTTTCTCACGATGTACTCAAGTAGTCAGATTTTATTTTCGCTAGCATATATACCCCACTTGAGGTTAATATACAAGTTGTGCTTGTTTATAAGCGTAAAAATCTTTTGGACGTGGAGTCGGTGCACATCTACATATTTATGTCCGTATACAGCTTTGCTACGGACGAACACATCGTCAAAGTAAATCTGTGCAAAATCTCGGACCGATCGCAATAGTTCGCTTACACGTATGTTGAAGGTAGCATGGGCAATTCTCAGTCCCTGTGGCGTTAATATCCACTACCAGAGCATACCACTGGGAGTGCTCACAGCAGTGTGCGGGATGGCCCGTTCACGCACGAGGATCTGATAGAAGCCATCCATCAAATCATGGACGAAAAGATGGTACTTTTTGACGTTCCATCAATGATGACGTCCTTCCTTGGTACGGCGTCTGATCCGGCACCGTTGCAGCGTTCAATTTGTTAAACGTGTGCACTATCCGCCACCCTCCTGTGGCCTTTCGCACACAGAAGGTCGGAGAGCCATGTGGGGATGTTGATTCCCTCACATGACCAGCCGCTAAGCTATCGGCAAAGAATTTGTCGATCGCTGTGACCTGTTCAAGAGGCAGTGCCACTGCTTCATGACAAAGTACTTCGCACCGGGTTTCAGCTCGATCTCATGCCGGGTACCTTTGTCCTTGGGCAGCTTGCATATACGGATTCCGGGAAAACATCTCTAAATTCTACCAAATTCTTTTGCAAAGGATATGTCTATAAAGAC